TTGAACCGGCTAATCAACAACTAACAAATCTTCTCCTTTTTATCATCTAAATTTGCATCATTTACTGTTTTACTTATTCGCTCGCCACGCTTGGCTCTGAGAAAAGAAGGAGTGCCGCTCGCGGTCTACCCCACTGGCAAGAAAACTTTGATTTTCTTGCAGTCAAGTAAAAACGAAACTCTAAGCATTTCTCTCTAAGCATTAATTATTTAGATTTTTTTAGAGCTAACAAAAATAGGTTCATCACCGTGTGTCCATTATGGCTCTTGCTCTAAAGAGTGTGAGATATACTGAGGGTGGGGAGGGACAAATCGAAGCTTTCTTCTTCCATGGCAACCAACTGACAACAGCCTCAATCACAAGTATCCAATATGGCGGACGATGTGTGACTTTTGATGTTGTGGTTTTTACACTATTTAGAGGCCATCTGATTTCGATATTCCTTACTAAATTCAATGAATACAAAAGTTAGAGGACCAGAGGATTATGAGGAACAAGGATTCAAATTACCGAAATCTCGCAATCTATTGCCATCGAAGAAATACCGCGAGAGTGTATTAAGATGGGGCGAACCAAGCGAATTGAAACGAAGACGCCTTATAATTGTCCCCTCCATAAAATGTCCAGCCAGGGATATCTCTGCGACAACGGATGGCAAAGGTAGGAGAAAATTAGTACAGGATACTTGAAATTTATAGTGGAGTGAGTGAGTGACAGAAATGTTTTAATGTCGCGAGTTTTATGAAAGATTAGCAGTTCTACACATGTACATTGGTTGTATACGAGGAGAACCAAAGTTTTCCTAATTGCGTGGTGGCGTCATTTTGCAAAATCCTGGATTATCTTGTGAGCCTACAGTGACAAAAAATTTGATAAACAAACCACTTAATATAGCCTAAGAGCATTCATTCAAGCAGCACATTAGCTTTTAACCGAGTTAACACCAGCTGCTACATTTGCCTAGCTTTTCATTCTGGGAGTGCACAACATAAATCAAGGTCAAGTAAAATAAGTAAGATTTTCTGCGCTAAAATAGTTATTTTTATCTTTTAAAGGCAAGAAACTTCAAGCTGACTCGGAATCAGATGGCTTTGCTACTAAAGTGGAAAGTTATAAGAAGCGATTAGAGGAACGCAAGAAGATCAGAGGCATCTTAAATAACTGTGGGCTTAGACAGGACTGGCTTACAAACAAGAGTGGAAAAACTGAACTAGAAAGTCGGGTGCTTAAACGGATGCAACTGAAAGGGCGACCTGAAATCACCATCAAAGAAGTAAGTTCTAAAGCATCTGTTTGGCAAACCTTCTGAAACTTCTTACTCTCTGTTTTGGTCAATACCTTGGACTTTAGTTCAAGGCTTGGCCTAATAAGACTCATCCTCTAGCTGTGGGGTTCTTGATTCACTGGCAATTCTCCGCACTTTGTGGCTGCTTGCCTCTTTGAGGTGGGGAGAATTACTCAGGATCTATAAGACACCAATAACCCTGGGGAGGGGAGTTATCAACAGAGTTTAATATGGGTTGGAAGACTCTACCCCAAGGTCCAGCCCCTTACCCTTTTATATACCATTTTTCATAAAAAAAGGTACCCCTTTCGTGTATGATCTGTTTCCAAAATTTAAAATGGTACCCCTTTCACATGCCTGCAGTATAGGTGTGTAGTTTACAACTTTGCAACCGTTTAGACTGCTGTAAATGCTCTGTGAATCAATCAGAAAAACAGAATGTTTTCTTGACTTTTTAAAGCCAAAAATTCATTCATCTTTTAGCCCTTTTGGACCCTTTTACAGACAAAAATGAGAGATTTTTCTACCTTGTCATGTACTTCAACCAGTGAAATCCCTACCTTTTCATACACCTGTAGGCCATCATAGGGAGTACCCTTTTCCCCCTCCCCCCGTGCCAATGGCTTGAGTCGAATCCTAGCCTTGGCTCTGCCCTTTCTTTGTTTTCTTACTGTCTTTCCATGCTTATTAACCCTTTAAACCCAAGATCAACATACAAATTCTCCATACTGGCATCCATACATTTCTTGAAAGACTGCTTGAGAGAATTTGTTAAAAGATCAAAGCATATTTCCTTATTGTACATGTTAGGAGGTGATCATTTTATTAATACTCATAGTCTTTCTACTTGATTATATACTGATAATGTTAGGAGAACGTTGATGTTGGTCACTCTTGGGAACATGAAAGAAGGAATAGTAGCACCCTGTATAACTGTAACCAAGATAATCCCCTGATAAAAAAAAATTGCGTGAAACATTTAGCTTACAGTGCCACTTGTAACTAATGTTATTGCTCTCATAAAGGCACCTACTCCTCCCCCAGCGATTGAAGAGGACACCTCTATAACTGGAGAGGATAGAGGTGTGCCAACCATCCACCACCCCTCCCCTGCTGCATTAGCTGTCATACAGGAATACTTGGGGCACAAGAGATTGCGTCTGCTGGACCTGTTTGCTCAAGCTGATAAGGACAAAAACTGGGCGGTGTCTCGGCAAGAGTTTAGGAACATCATCCGGTCATGGAAGATCCCACTGACTGAAGCTGATCTGGAGGATTTGATCATTGCCTTGGACAGAGACAACAGTGATGCTTTGGATTACAGGGAGCTGGCTGTGGGAAGACAATCTTACTTGGAGGAAAGGTCAGCAATAAATATGCATTTTTGCCCAAACGTGGGGTCAATGTTGGCCAAGTTTTCTGTGAGTTTTTATGGACTGAGACAAAAGCCCATCTTGCACTACTGATAGACAGTCAGAACACAGGTTTTGCTCCATCTTGCCTGCTCACCAAAGTTCAATGGTGTGTCTGACTAGGTATGAAGACAAACAACATTTCGCTTTCTGTCCATAAAAACACTTGCAGATCAAGAAAAGGGCTGAAACCATATCACTGTCAGTGATGCCTTCATTACAAGCAATGTCCCTCTTTGTCAAGATTCCCAAAATTGAGCAAAATATTTAAGGTCCAATATGTCCACTCCTATAAGACTCCAATATGTCCTGCTCCTTAAACGAAGTCCAGAAGGCTTCAATTTGAAGTGACTTATGATTAAAAATTTATGAATTACTTTCATCACTGCAGGGTCACCAAGCAGACAGCTGAGTTTGTCCAAAATCCCACGACGAAGTCAACAAAGAGACCAGAAACTATCCCAGAAGAACCAGAACCCAGCCAAGACCCTTCTCAGGAAAAGGGAACACAGAGGCCAGGGTCTCCCCAGATGTCCCCTTTGCCTCAAAGACCTCCCTCAGCCCCAAAGTCCCCCTCCCCAAGGAGGCCCTCGACGTCACCGCTGAGACCCTACTCGCCATCTTCAGGCATGATGGCGCCAGCGGCTGCAGCCTTTGTTGGCCACCGACCAGATTCTGAACCACAAATGAAAGGAGCACGTCCAGTTTCTCCAACTGGTACACATAGTAGCGGCAGCATGTCACCTACTTTGTTAGAAATTCCAGCCTTTCAGTTGTCAGAAAAGGTGGAGCAGTTAACAGAGGATGAGGTGAGGGTTAATTGACGCGATTGAACTTCTACTCTAAGAAAAACTAAAACGTGATAAGTTTTTGTAAGTCGTCACATACGGCTCTCTCTCAGTTTTTGGCGCGTTTTACGTTCGTGTTTCGTAAAGTACATGTAAGAGGTCAAACGAGGAAACAAAGGGGCAGTGGGTGAGAGAAATAAGGCAAAGAGAATCGCTTTTTCCTCTTGCCCTCGCCCCCTCCCCTATCGATTTCTCGTTTGATCTCTGTTTATCTTTCGTGCGGCTTTTTCTCTTCTTTTACGAATCACAAACGAAAAACACACTAGAAAACCTGCCAGCTACACAGGCTATACAAACAATGGATAAAACAAGATTTCGTTGATTGTTCAACGTGCCTAATTTCTCAATAATAAATTTTTGCGTATTTGCTACTGAATTTGAAGATAAATCTACAAGGTTGGTAAGTAAAAGCACGAGAAATTGGAGTACTGGGGAGAGAGAGTAAGAATTGGAGGAAAGAGGATGTTTATCTTACTAATTTTCGCGTGTACTAAATTTCCCGACAATTTGAAAGCCGTGTTTCGCGACTGATTAATTTCGAACTAAAGAGACTGAAATTCTTTTGATTCTTCAATGTTATGGTCTTAAGACAGGTAATAAAATTCTGGAAGTTTATATTTGTTTCGCTCACGTCTATCATAAAGAGATTACTGGATCACCGACGGAAGTTCGAAGACTAGGGGACTGAACAACGGGTTGGAAGTATATGGGTTTCGAAGTTACGTATTCTTAATTAAAACCTGTAAGTATCTTCGTTGCAGATAAAAAAGAGACGCTCGAAAAAGCAGCAAAAACGAAAAGAGAAAGAAAAGAAGCAACGAAAGAGAGTTGCACCAGAAAAAGCAACTGTGGCGCCCTCCACCATGGGGGGTAGGCTAGGGGAGATGGTAGACCGCTATCGTAGGATGACCATGAAAGAGTATAATGATGTTGTGGAAATGTGTCAGATGCACGGAGTACCAGTTAGCAAGGCTGTGTTGGGAAAAGGTGAGGCTGTGCAGGCGTGTTCATTTCTCAAGAATATGGCCGGTTTTATTGACCAAGCAGCAGTCCATTTGATGCATTGGTCAATTCCACCAGTTGCATTCCCCACCCCTTGGCATATACCCCTGGGATTTGTTACTGCTCCCCATTCCGCGGCACAGAGAAGAGGGAATCTATCTTCCTGCCGGGGACTCTCCATTTCCGTCCTGAAATAGGTCGTTTGTAAATATAGATCAGATCACTATAATATAGCTGGAAACCATGTTTACACAGGGGCGAAAATGTAAGCAAAAGGCTCGTGTATAGAACGTTTTCACTCACGTGGCCTGCAGCAAATTTATTGGAGCAAAAGAAAGATTGTTCAAAAGGAAAAAGATTCAACTTCCACAGGACTGGTTTGGATCATCAACATGGATGCCGTTTGATTGTGTTGGGACACCAATATGGCAGACGTGACGTTATGTGAAAACGCTCTGTGCGCAGGCGCAGTAGTGTGCCAATTACCAGTGACTTTCGTTTGTTAACATGTCACTTGGGCCAGTGTTGCTGCCTGTGTTTTTGCCAGCAGAGTATGTCACTGGTGATACAAAGGCTGAAAGTCATACGTTTGAAGGTGTTTAACTAGCCTGCGCTGCGTAGTAGGCGCTTGGAAGTAATAGGCTGATTTAGCAAGAGAACGGGAACGTCATTTGACGACGGGAAAGCGCGCGGAAAGGATTAAACTCGACTTCCGGTGCCCAATTTGCCGTTCAACCATTCGTCAAACCAGTTGTTTGATTTGCGCGAGCCGTCGTCAACTGACGTTCCCGTTCTGTTGCTAATCAGCCTATTATGCGAGAAAGAACGAGGCGCGCGAGGGAGACAAGCGAGGAGAGAGGGAGCTCCCTCTCCCCTCGCGTGTCTCCCTCGCACGCCCCGTTCTTTCTGGCACCCATTTCTTTCAAGCGCCGGCCGTGCAGGCGAGGATGGAACAGAGAACTAAACGAAGGATTTCTGACTATTTTTCTCTGTATGTTTTATTTCAGTTCTTCTTCATCCAGAAGATAAACCGCTGTCCAAGATAAAACTGACTGCGCGGAGACCTGGGCTTTTTTCTATAACAGCCAGACACCACATTCCAGCCACTAAGCTCCAGTCTTCAACGGTTGTTAGCAACCCACGGCGTCCTAAGTTTAGAGACCCGGGCCCAAGTAGCTGACAAATTCGAGGACGAAAGATAATTCCAAAGCAAAGTTACTCTTGTATATAAAATTTGTAAAAATTTGTAAAATAACGTTGTACTATATAGGAAATGGAATTATATTTTGTTATCAAACTTGTCAGACTAATAAATAATGGCAAAGGTTTTAAAGCATGTGTACGTTCAATGTTTCAGCTTTGGTGATATTTATCAATTGTTTCTCGTCCGTGTTGGCAGGACCACGCATAGAAGTGACATCTCTGCCGCGCAAACCATGAACGACGAAGTCATAGAGAGTATCTTGTTTTAACCGTCGTTTGTGCGTCTCAAAGTACATTTTTTTAATCCTTGCTAGACTTCTCTTTTCGTTTTCCTTGTATCCTCACTGAATCCTTCTTGAAAAGGGTCTGTTTTTCTCCATCCTTTTACACGTTGCGGTAACCTAAAGAATCAATTTGTTTTCTTCGATATTTTATTCATTTTTTTGTCTTCCTTCTCTTTTTCTTTCTTTTAACGTCTTCAACCGCTGCTCTTCCATTATCCTCACAACTTTTTTCGCCTATAAAAACCAAGATTAAAGACATTTTATAAGCGTTAAACGCAAAGCTTACAGAGTGACAATGAATGTTAAGATCTGTGTTAAGGGGAAGAAACAAGAACATAACCGGTTTGGTATTAACTGATGTAAAAGTAAGGCGAGATATACTGGCGTGGGAAAAGCTAAGATCAAGAAGGGAGGAATTTTCGAGACGATTCTAGCTTGCCCCGCGATCTACACGTTGAAAAAGGAAAAAAAAATCATGACGTTCTTTCTGACCTTCGTAGAATTTTTGTTGTTACGATAGCAAGAAGACGCGACTAATCAGTGAATAATCAATGAGAAAACACATGATTGTTTATTGGGTAATGCCACTACTCAACTAGACACTTTAGAAATAAGAAGGAGACTGGAGCCGAAATGCATCCCGCAGTTGTGTCTGGGATCGTTACTGGGGACGCGCCAGTCCCAGAAGTCTTTGCGAAAGTTAACTCGGCCCAGTTTCCTTCTCAAATGGCGCATTGCAGTAACACAGCAGGAGAGGATGCCATGCGATACATCACCCTCCCCACCCATCTGCTACAGGTACTGTATACCTTTTATTCCAGGCATCATCAGGGACCCGCTCTTGGTTGGGTATTTTCCACTGAAACCAGCAGGTATCAATGGTGTCTTCAACAAACTGGAAAGTTGATCTGAAAAAAGATACCAGCCGTTAGGTTATCTCATCTCACTGAATTTATCATCGCGATGTTTGTTTCAGCTGGTTTTGCGTAAGCAAAACAATAAATTTATAAAAAAAAAATATAAAAGAAAAGAAAAAAAATCATACCTTTCATCTGCTTGAGCTTTACCTGTCTCTCCTTCCTTTCACCAGAATCTCCTAAATCCTCCAACCTGTTAAGGCTCGTCAAAGAAAAATAACTGGAGATGGTAACTATTGTTAAGTTGACGAAGCTTCGTCGACAAGAGATCTGGGTCGAAGATTATGGAAATTGTTTTGGTAGTAAACCGTTTTTCCTGTGCCTATTGTATTACCAGAAACTATACAGGGCCAATCATTGACTAATATTCGAGGCCGTCGTCCTTTTACGTCACGTCACGCAACTCTTTTCCCTTGATCATTGACCCTTAGAACGACAACGGACAACAGCTGAGCAAGTGAGGCTATTTAGTCAGATAACTACAGCGGGGAAGATTTTTAAACCATTTTTGACCATAAGTTTTGAGTTTCACCCTTCTTTTGAAAACACAAACTTGTAGCGCTTTCTTTCACTAAAGGATACAAATCCTCATCAACTTCAATGTCCATAGCTTTGGCCGACGCAAGAAGCCAATCATTGCTTGACTTTTTACGTCTGAACCTGTAAAAAAGGATAAAAAATTCACAGATCAGAGATGCATGCAGTGACAGAGCCTGTTCTATAGCACAACAAGAGTTAATTAAAAGAAAGAAATGATCAGAGACTAAATTGTCTTGATTGTCAAACAAATTCTATGTCATGTGACGAATTTCACTATGGGAGTGTTTCAAGGGGGACTTAACACTTTGGCCAGTTCCCCGCGCAATTTCGTAACAGCCAATGAAAGAAGTGATACTTCCTCAAAGCAGTCCCATAGTTCAGTTCGGCACATCATCGACCCAGTCTCACGCCAACCTGACAAAGGGTATTCATAGCCTGTGAGCAAGCTCTCCCGGGGAGTACGGGGGTGGGAGAGAGAGGGCGCGAAGAAGAACTTTCTGGCAGGCTAGAGTTTCACCGCGGACAAACCAGAGAAAACTTCAAAGCTAAGGTTGCTACTTTCAGTGTTGAAAGTTTAAGATGTTACCAATACGCTGTAAATTTACCAAACTTTTCGAGTGTTTACTAGAAAAGTTCTAAGTGACTGAAAACTGAAACTGGTGTTAAGGCCGGCGCCATTTTGCCAGCATAAGGTCACTCGGATGAGAAACGTTTTCAGCTACCAGAAAAGAGGGTAGAGGATACTCCTTACTTGTGTTCTTCTTTGTCAATTGTCTTGGCCAGAGAGATCCTTCTTCGTATAGAAGCCATGAAGGTTATGTCCACTGGGAAGGAATCAAGGTCGTTACCTGCAACAGAAAAGTATTGATGACTAAACAGATTTAGTCATAAACTTTACTAAATAAGAATATCATAGAAGGGTTTTTAATTAAACGAGGCGTATTTTCGCAATAGAATCTGAACAACCTGATGCCTGGTAAAAAAGGTGCTAACTTCATCGTAGTCGGAATGCAACACATTCGCTTTCAGAAAACCTTTGGCTCCTTTGTCATAAGGAAATCATGTTTCCTCATTCACTCTTGTGAAGTCTCGTTTTCATCCGCGGGTTTAATGGCAGACATGTAATGACGTTGCACAATGTTTTAATGGGAGATGCAGAGGTTGAGTCTAGGGAAGAGCTTGCTAGCCTTGAGGCTGATCAGCAAGTGTTGGACGTCGCACTCAATACCCGTATTACTAAACTGTCAGGGAGTTTAGCATCGACGACGGCGACGGCAAGGAAAACGTAACTTCCAAAATGAATTTTCTTTTTTTCCCAACTTTTTTGGGTTTATTCTAGCTGGCTTAAAATGCTAAATGTCGGCTAATTTCCCTGGAGTTGGGACCGCACTAAACTCTCGAGAGAGAAAGAAGAATTCGTCGTCCTGTGCTTACGTTCTCAATGGCAAATGGCACAAGGAAATTTCACGTCGTAGTCGTGCAGTGACGACAAAAACTGACATGTACCAGAAAGTGTGCAGAATGTGTAAGATTCTTGTTGTGCGCGTTCAACCTATTGCTTTTCTGACGTTCTCGTTGTCGCGACGGTCATCGTTGCTAAAGTTCCTTAAATTTGAGACGACAAATTATGATGTATGATTTATCAGGTTAACGAACAACTGTACCACATAGTGGCTCAGAATACAGGTATTTCTTGGTTTAGCAGTGGACACAATACCTGCATTGAGGGTCTTCATGATTTTCTTGTAAGATCCCATTTCTTCAGGTGCCACGAAAACAACGCTTAAACCTTCTCTGCTGGCTCTGGCTGTACGGCCGCTGCGATGTATATAAATCTGTAGAACAGCACGATGTAGAAAAATCAAAGCTATAAACCCCAATCATTGCAGTAAAAACGCTTAAATCAGAAATTTAAACCCAGAAAACGTGAAATTAGGCAGTTTCACGTCGTAGTCGTGCAGCGGTGACGGTAAAGACATGTACAAAAAAGCGTGCGAGTTGTTGTTTCTAAACCTATTCTAAACCAATACAATAACTTTTTTAAAGCCGTTCCGCAATAACCTATCTTTTTCTTAAACGGCCCCCCTAACAGCTAGTAAGCTTCTCCTTAAGGATGAAAAACTCCCAAACGCTTACGTCAGGATCCTCACGTCAGGATCCTTGGGAACTTGATAATGAATCACGTGTTCAACTGCTGGGATATCCAGACCTCGCGCGGCCACATCTGTGGCGAGAAGCAAACCAGTAGAGCTTGACTTGAATCTACAAAAAATGAAACAAAAAAAAGAAAAAAGGAAAAAAGATTAAAAGAACAAAGGAAATAAAAAGGAAATCAAAAGTTGTAAACATAAGCAAATGAAATACCAATGTGTTGAGAATATGTGAGAAATTGTTCCACCTTTTATTTGGAAATTCATAACGAAAGCAAATTATGCTTGCCTGTCCAGGTTCTTAAGTCTTTGTCTTTGTTGCATGCTAGCGTGCAGAACCCAGGGGTCAAAGTTCAACAACCTGAATAAGGAACCTAATCTCCTGACGCAGTCAACCGTGTTGGAGAATACCAGCGTGCGGCCTGGGTACCGAGACAGGAAATAGTATAGGTACAGATCCTGTGAACCAATGAAACGCAAGGAAACTGTTGACTAAAGGCTTTCAAATAAACATAACGAGAATCAGTAACACCAGCTTTGAAACTGAGGGTCGCAAAACATGGAGATACACGTACCATGGAGCAGGCGCCCGAGGCCTGGGAGAATGAATAAACCAAGCCACGATTGGTTTCAGTTATAATCCTCTGATTGGTTGATAGAATGGCGTGATATTTTTTTTCACCAATCAGAAAGTGTAGCAATGTAAGACAACGAAATCAAGGATAACTGGCGTGGAGCGGGTGCCAAGCGCGGGGAAATGAGTGAACCTAGCCATGACTCGTTTTAGTTTTACTCTTCTGATTGGCTGATAAAGTGCCGCGAGATCTTCCAACCAATCAGAAAGCGTAGCAATGCAAGACAAAGCAAGTAAGGATCACTGACGAGGAGCGGGTGCCAAGCGCGGGAAATGAGTGAACCTAACCACGATTGGTTTAGTTCTGATTGGGTGATGAAGTTAGGCAGGATATTCGACCATTCACGCAGCGTGGCAATAAAGTAACAAACAATCAATGATAACATTAGTGTTTCAAAACGTAAAAAGGTTTTGGGAACTTTTCCGGCTGCAGAATACAAACCTTCTCCTCAAGGGAGCAAGATATCTTAGCTTCTGTCAGCGTTTCCACTGTTCCTTTCTTGTTGGTGACATCGATTACTTTACAGCTGTTCTTGTGAAGCTTGACTTTGTCCATTAATGAAACTAAAATGCAATACTGAGAAGTTTAAAAGAAAATCCATGTCTTTTATACTTTTTGTCTTTTTAAAGTGATGCTAAAAAACAAGGGAATGACCTCATTTTGCTGTTACGCGTTTATCATGAGCTCAACAACTTTCAACTACGAACCGTTAAAAACCTCACAACCCTGGCTCGAACTCCGGGGGGGTGGGGTCCTGGGAATTCTTGGTGGGGGTATGCCGCCTGGTTCTCCAAATTCTGATGCTAAAAAACAAGGGTATGACCTCATTTTGCTGTTACGCGTTTATCATGAGCTCAACAACTTTCAACTACGAACCGTTAAAAACCTCACAACCCTGGCGATGGGGGTGGGGTCCTGGGAATTCTTGGTGGGGGTATGCCGCCTGGTTCTCCAAATTCTGACCCTACTTTAGACCAAATACTCCAACGAAGCGGACGACAACGAGAACGTCAAAAAAACAATAGGTTTAATTAGCAAAAAACAACTTTGCACGTGCATCACACTTTTTTGTACATTTCTTTCACGTTTTTGCACGACTACGACGTGAAAATGCCTAATTTCGCGTTTTATGAAGGACGTAAACAAGCAACGACGAAATTTTATTTCTCTTTCTGAGCTTGAATATGGTTCCTTGAAATTCAGCTTTAGGAGGGTTCGTCTACAATTGACAAAGTAAGTGGGTAGGAATAATCACTGTAAAGACTGAAAGAACGCAAATTCACTTTTTAAGCGACGTTCTTGTCGCCGTCGCGCCGTTGGATCTTAAAGTCTCTACTGTCATTTTTGACACCCGTTTTCAGAACTGGCGTCTAAAATCCAAACCCGTTATCAGACCTAGTCTCTAAGAAATTATGTCATCATTACTTAGATTAGAACGCCAACAAAAAAGATTTCACAAAGTCTTTCTTCCTTATTCACCTGGAATGGTCTTTGAGACGATAAATATTTTCATACACTCCTGTAGTTTGCTCGAAAACCATACCCGATTCCAGACCAAAATGGACAAAGTCTATACTCGTTTTTAGACCAAAACGGTGCAAAAATCCTACCCTTTGGGGCGGCACATACCTAAACGGCTTATACACGTATAAGGGAGCTACTACAAGAGCTTCACATCTTCAAAACAAAGACACCCTTACTGTGCTTCTTCCGCTAACAATACACAATAAAAGCAAGGCTGATGACAAAAGAAAGAAGACTTACCCAAAGCTTCTCCTCTGGAAATGTTTCTTTCTCTTCCTTTTTGCTTGAATGATTTAGGGAGGGTTAAGGTAGCGGAGAAAATAAATTTCTGCAGACTTTTCTTCTTTGTAGGGTCTGTTTTTTTTAAAAAAAGAGTAAATTGTGGTTAGATAAGTCACGAAACTAGAAGAGCATTAATATTTAATACACAGGAAACACAAACTTACTTTTACTCGCTTGTCCATCCTCTTCGGCTTCTTCAATGTCCCTGTTAGAGAAAAATTTGACCTCTGTTTAATCTGGGGGATACGGTCGTTTTACTAACGTTCACTAACATGATGAAAAAGGCTGCTATTCAATGAAAAAGGCGTTAAGAACGAGAAATGAAATTTGACGTTATATAACACGTTTGTGAAACTGCCTTGGACGTTTGCAAGATAACTGGTTATCTCTGAGAGGCTGATGCTAGAGTTACAAGTTTCGGCAGATTCGTTACAGATGGAAGCGGATTCGCCACAGACTCAGCTTCTATCTAAAAGTACATTTGCTAAATCTCAACATCGGTTCGTGACAAGTTGATTCATAACGATGTGGATAATGTGGTCATTATTCTTTGCGGTTTGAAATGATAACGTTTACAATCATTTTTTCAGGTAAGTTGACTCTTATCCCAAGTACGCCTATCCTATCCACACAACGAGTTTGTAAGTGAATGTGTTAAGTAAGAAGCATTTGGGTTTGCTCGTCGCTTTTCTTAAACCTGATGATGTCTTATTGAACTGAACGGTGTGTGGCATTTATATATCTGAACTTGCCTTGTTCGGTGAATAAGATCCAAAATGGAGGAAAGCTCCTGAAAATGCCCTTGCTCCACCATTCTATCAGCCTCATCTATCACAAGGTATCTCAGCTGCTCCAGTTTGCTAACATGCTCTTCACCCTGCGAAACAGGCAAAATAAGAAAAGCAAATTATATACCTAATAGCAGAATATCAAGTTAAACTCAAATGCTTTTATACATGTAAATGAGAGGCGGTGACTGACTCTCTGACAAAAGGACTAAAACTAATCTAAATTAAGTGACCAGTTCGCATTGTCAATTCCTTAAATAAAACCAATTTCTTGTGCTTACAATGTACACTCCCTCACCATTGCAACACCTCAATTTTCCTAGAAGCTAATACCTTAATACCTTAAAACAATGTAAGGTTTGACCCAACAAATGCGAAATTTATGTCTGAATGTACTGACCTCCGAAATTAAATCCCACAGACGCCCAGGTGTGGCAACTATTATTTCCGGGCACTTGCGAAGAAGTCTCTGTTGTTTCTGTGGCGCCATGCCACCAACCACAGCTACAATCTTAACAAAAAAAAACAGAGAACAAATATGTAAATATTAGGGACAACTTTTACCCTTGCGAATTTATGGCCCAAATGTGAAGGTTATACACCATGAAATTTCAAGAAAAACATAAGCCAGTTAGAGTTTGCCCCACTAAATTGTTTAATATCAGTGTGCATATTCATTGAGAGATAAAATAGAACAATAATTATAATAACGACAACAAATTCAGTACACTTTGTTATAATATTCCAAAAGATTACATACATACACTTTCATAGGTAGTCATTACAACAACTGAAGGATGATCATGAGGTTGTCCCTGAATTAAGATCTCTCCTTACAGATAACCCACCCAGCCCTGGAAAAGTTGGCCACACCACCAAGGTCTACATCCCCTACTCTTTTTGAACAGTGGTATGGGTTCTTTTACGTCCCACAAGAACTGCTGTGAGATGGGACCAATCTTTTTTCATCGTTACTGTATCTGAGAAGACTAGAAAGTCTAACCATTTGAACATGTCATTACAAAGGCAGCACTTTCTTCTCAGTTACTTGAAGACCTTGTGTGTTGGTCCGGCCGGGCTTGGAACCCACAACCTCTGCTTGGCAGACTGGCGCTCTCGCAACTGACCTAACTAGGCGGTAAACAGGAAACATTCATACCTCTAGGAATGTGTGCTTTGCAACCTGCTGAAGATGGCTTTTTATTTGCAAGGCCAATTCTCTAGTTGGTGTCATAATCAAACCTAACAGTGGCCTTTCCTTTTTATCACTGTCCATGCTGTTATCAGCTTCAGCTGATGATGTTTCTGAAATGTCAACCTTTTCCTCATTTTCATTCTCTCTATCAGTTTCTTGGGCAACTCTTTGATGCAAGATGTGAGTGATAATTGGAATGCCAAAAGCAAGGGTTTTTCCTGAACCCTAATAAAGAGTAATAGGAGATATTTGTAAGATGAGTACATCTCTAGCCCAACTGTATGTTGATTGTTTCCTGGTTGAATACCAGTACCTGAACAGTCACATAGGATAGTGAGTACACATCAAAGGGAAAGAAAATTTAAGCAGAGAGAAAATTGAATCACAACATGAACACATTGCATAAAAATTTCTTGACTCAGAGTGAATAAATTTACTGCACTTTTTAATAACAAGAAAACTCTGAAATTTAATGGTCAGCTTATAATAATATGTTTTTTGCTGTTATCAATCATAATTATGATTGCAAGCAACGGACCCTGAAACACAAAAACACAAAAATGGATCGAAAGCAATCAATCAACCAATCACAAATCTTGAACTTTCGAACTGGTTGGAAGTAAAGTTCTGTTTCCCAAGAGAAACGCTAAGATGATTGACGACAGTGAAGAAAGGAAACGTTAGTTGGCTTTTGAACTTCAGAGTTCATGTGTTATTGAAATGCGCAGTAAAGTTGTAATCTCTTAAATGTCATTGGTCATTATGGAAAACTGACAGTTGAGATCATGAGACCAAACAGCCGTATTGTCAGATTATCTCAGAAGAATATTATAAACAAAAAACAGTTTGGAAGTAACTTTTTTATGAACAAGTCTTGCGAGAGCAATGAATAACATTTTCAGAACCATATATTGGTGTTCATTTGTATTGACAAAAGTTAGCACAGGCAACTAATAGCTTCAAAGACAAAAAGTCTATAGATGTGAAACCTTTTTGCAAGAAACTTATTAATACAAAACTAATTTTTAAAATGGCAGCATGCTGGAAAAATCTCTTCTTTATCTAGCCTCAGGTGGTCATTTTGAAGTTGAAAAATAAGTCTCATTCATAAAGATGAGCTACATTATGTGGGTGGATCACTCCATTTGCCACCTGATGCAAAACTTTATATGTTACATTATTTTGTCAATATCTCATTTATTAGACAGTAACATTGTAAAATGCCAGACATTTAACTTACAGTTTCAGCGGCCCCAATGATGTCTCTATGATGGAATATTGCTGGTGGCAAGGATAGTGTCTGTATTGGTGTAGGGCTAGTAAATCCTTGATCACTGAGAGCTTTCAATATCTTGGTTGGAACTCCCAAGGATTCCCAGGTCTTCATATCTAGTTCTACTAAAATGACAAGATTAGCAGCATGTAAGTAGCCTCCCACGCAGACATTCTTCGTGGTTTGTCACGCGTTCCTGCCCCACGAACGTCTGCTGAACTGAAAGATAAATTCCTTTCCACACATGCAGATTACACTCATGCAGATTATCGGAGATCCAATCGGCGCTGTTGAAGTCAAAGTGTTGACAAGCTGAACACATATGTACAAGCTCTGATATGTGACCAAAGATTTTTGCTCCTGACAAGAATATAGGAGATAAGCATTGGCTTTTTGAACATTTCTCTCTGTAAAGGCTGGATTAGATGTCATTTGCTCATAAATTTGTTGTTTGGGTGATGCAATGGTGGGGTTACCTTGTAGGACTGAACAAAAGGAAGAATTTTTTTCACACGTTATTGTTTTGTAGTAAAGGCGACTTCCGTTCAGCAAATTTAACCTCCAAGGTAATTTTTTTCAATGAGATTCTGAGGGCAGCCATTAGTACAAATACTTGAGTTAACTGAGTAGTTTGTTCTAAAACTGTAAGGTCTTCACCTTTCATAAGACCTTTTTAATCTTTTCTGGAGCTAAGTCAAGTGCGGAATTTCTAAGGTCCAAAGTGCACTTCCCAGATCTGGAAGTCTGCTGTGATTGGTCTAGGTTTTTTTCCACTCAAGTCGGCAGACGTTTGTGGGGCAGGAAGGCATGACGAATCCCTATGAATGTCTGCGTGGGAGGCTACCATGTAAGCAGAGCCCGATATTTTAGAAGAAATTTGTTCAGCTTAAATGGGCAAAATAGTATAATAATATTATTGCACCTTCTGAATCTTCAGTTATTCCATTTTCAACTGAAGCTTCCTGCTTCTGATCTGGTTCCTCATCATTTTCAATTTTCTTTTTCTTCTTCTTCTTTTTCTTCTTGGCCTTCGCAGATTTTTCTCCTTCTTCTTCTGATGTTGATGGTGGTGTAGGTTTAGGTTGATCCTTCTGCTCCTGAAATTGTAAGCATTGCAGAATTCACAATGTAATGTACCCAAAGTCCCAGAATATTGTAGAAAAGAAAAGGAAATTAAACCTCTATTGAGCCGCCACCTCTACCTATGGCCACCTTTTGGCCGTCCCAACAGGAGTTCTCCCATTGCTGTTACCTCCATTAAGTGGCCATCAAGCACTTGATTCACTTTGTTTGGCCTTATTTCAATAATATGATGAAGGAAAATATGGTCCAAGATAGAAGTGATGACCGATTGTGGAACAATAATGCTGCTCCTGTCGCAAGTTTGTTTCAAAATAAAGTGACGTTTCTGCTACAGAAAGTAAAGATTATGCTAATTTATAGCCTATGTGTAGCCGCACCCTCCCCCCAACAAAGGAAAAATAGAGGAAAAAACTCTCTCCGTTTTTCCTTTGTCGGGGGGAGGGTGCGGCTACACGTAGGCTAGCTAATTTATGACGAACCTCTATTGAGCACCCAACCTCTGTTAAGCGGCCACTTACTGGTACCCCGTGGGTGGCCGCTAAATAGAGACTCAACTGTAGTCTAAAGTGAATAGAGCTGAAACATGTATGCACACTAAATGCAACGCTGTGCTGTAGCACTGCCAGGTGGCCCCTGGCACTTTAGTTTTGCTCGCTGGCAACTAGAAAATCTTAGGTTTTTCAGAGAAACCATGTGCAGGGCACCCAGGGTTTCACAGGCTCAGAGCTCTGGGCTCCCTTCAGTTTTTCTTGGAGCACAGCCGTAACATTTATGGGGTTACACGGAAATCTTACCCAATAACCTTCATGTCTCAACTTCATCACTCTCACCTTAAAATCACCTCTTCTCGGCGATAATCAAGCTTGCTAAATAGAAATATACCGAGGCAATTGCAACAAAACACAAGGACAAATAAGTTTATTACTGTGATTATTTTGTGATATCATCACAATAATACTACCATTAAGCTTACCAGTCCTGCTTGCACTTTGGCTTTTTTCTTACGAGGTGGGACATCAACATTAATCTCCTTTAGTTCTTCTAAGTTATATTCCTCCATAACCTCAAGAGAAACAAATCCTTCCATTTCGCCGGAAAAGAACGTTGGATCGTCCAACACGACCGGCGTCCATTTTCGTTTTTTGGTTTTCCTGTTTTTGTCCGCCATCGCGATAAGTGTACTTTTTCACATAAAGAATAAGAGCACGCCTTATACTTTACTCTCGGGTAAAGTAGTTTTCTGTCTTCGACCATCCGCCATTGTGGATTGCTTTCTTGGAGAGGATTGGATCGAGTTTTTGATACGCATGCTATCATGAGTAGAATTCTTACCGCTGACTGTTTGTAGATTCGCGTGACCATGTTGCACGTTCAGCAAAATTCAGCTGACTTTGTGGTTCTGCGTCATTTCTGCGAATTTTAAGTTTACTATCTTGATATGGCTAGCGCTCACCGCACTTATAAAGAAGAATGCTCTTTTATTGAGCGCCAAGATGAGAATTCATTCCTGATAAAGAAAGGCTTTGTTCCAAATATGAAGGTAACTTTAACCTAAGTTGAGAGGCGAGGTTCTTGGTTCTAAACCGAAAAAAGATTTCGTTCCATTTAATGGAAATTTACCCACAGCACGCTGTTCAAAATTTGTAAGGCACACTATCACCTTTGTACTTTTAATTAAAAAGAAACTGTTGGTAAACTTTATTAATTTATGCTTAGCTCTTTTTAATTGTTTATGTTTATTTTACCCCTCCCCTTCCCCCCCCTCCCATACTCTGAATAAAATTAACTTCAACTGCAGGGATGACCATATGACAGAGATTAAGTTACACTCCCCCTTCATCTGAACATATTTATTATCTTCAGTTGAATGGTGAGAGCAACTTTATTAACTCTCATGATTGCTGTGATAATAAACTTATACAAATGCTGAAGTATTTGCAAATTATGTGTTTCAGTAAATTTTATGTTTTGTTTAAAGGTTGAGGGAGTCTTTTATATTAATGATTTACTTGAAAAGCTGATGTTTGATGAACTGAAGCATTTTGCGGGAACCCAAGGTAATGCAAGTCACGCATTTTAATTTTATAAATGCTTGAAATATTGCTGATAATCCAGAAAAGTGTTAATTAATACAATTTTTTTGGATAGATTTGTGGTTCTTTTTCCTCTATTCTGGAATCAGAATAGTCAGGATTCATGATTTCTCTATTTTTTTAAATTTCATTTTCAAGGCATTGGAGGGTTTCTTCCTGGTGTCAAGCAGATTGCAAATGTGGCAGCTTTACCTGGAATTGTTGGTGTAAGGCAACATTGTATATGTTGTGGTTCAATTTTATCCTGGGTTCAAATTTTGTGTTCTTTTGTTTTTTGGGGATGGAAATGTAATCTGACAATAATATGACAATGAACCAAGGATAAAATTGAACCACAACATATATATTTCTTATTTTTCCAATAACTGGCCCTATGTACAAGTCTCTATATATTTTAAAAATAATATTCAATAATAATATTGTGTTATTTGAATGATTTTCATGCAGAAATCAGTTGGCTTGCCAGATGTACATTCAGGTTATGGATTTGCTATTGGTGAGCTCTAACTGTTTAATAATCTAGTTGTAAGGTCATTCATGCCTAACAAAAGGAGCCAGGATTATGTTTCTCTCATAAATGCCAAGGAAGAATCTTTTTATTCTGTTTTTAATGTCAAACCACTGTGATAATAATGAATGGAAGGTCACTCCAAAATTTATTTTAGTATTATTATTAATTCCATGGTTTATCCTGACCCTCAAATGTTTTATCCCCACTGGGTAGTCTTCTAATTGTGTTTGAAGTTCTCATCATCTCTAATGTATCGTGGTTTTACATTTAGGTAACATGGCAGCTTTTGACATGTCCCTTCCAGAAGCAGTTGTTTCTCCAGGTAAGGGGTATTGACTTTTACTGTTAGGAGAAAATCTTGATGACCAGCAATTAAGTGGTAGCTTTTTTATTCTTCAGGTGGTGTTGGTTTTGATATCAATTGCGGTGTAAGACTGTTAAGGACAAATCTTGATGAAAAGGACGTTCGTCCTGTTAAAGAACAGATAGCTCAGGTTAGAGAATTACCCAAAACAATTGGGTCAATCAACACCTGATATGTTCATTACAAACTTGATGTCTTCCACAGTGGGCTTGCAGGCTCCTAACTAGACTTTGAGAACTGACAGGGCAATTAACTGTCCACTGTTTTGAATTCTTTACATTTTGAGCACTATATTCGCCCCTTTTAAAACCAGAAGGAAACTAAGCTTAGTTAGCTTTTGCAAAGACCTCTGCGCTATTAGTTACTAGCCAATTTGTTTCCCCATCCCCAGTAACATTCCCAAAAGTCTTGCAAAAGTAAACTTGACTGTGTTTCCTTCTCGTTTCTGAAGTGGCGAGTTTAAAGACTGTTATTTTGTTCTCTCTTTTTTGCAGTCTCTGTTTGATCACATTCCTGTGGGTGTTGGCTCTAAAGGTGTAATTCCCATGGGAGCAAAGTAAGATGGGTTTTTCTTTTGAATTCTGTCTAGTGAAGCCCATACTTTCCACCCTTGCACACTGCTACACATTATATTGTCAGTATGTCTAACATAACTACACCCTTGCTGTCCTGATACTGTTCACCAGTACAGGACATCTGACATTTGACAAGTCCAGATTTTGTCATTTTCAACAAACCTCTGGTTGAAAGGTTAGGTGAAATGCTAGTTATGTTATTAGGCTATGAGATGAAAGTTGCCATATTTGACTCTTTGGAGGTAGTTATATCAGTTTCGAAACAGTTATAATACTTTTTCAGGACTGTCACTAAGATTTCAAGTTGCCAGATTAATTCAACAAGTAGGCAGTAGATTAAACAATTATAGGGATTTCTTTTGATTTTATTTTTCTACTATTCTCTTATGAAAGTAGCTGGGGGTCACATTCCTCATAGACGGAAATCCCCAGCCCCCAGCCCTTACTGGCAGCTCTGCTTTTTAAAGTAATTGTCTGTTCTGACAGAAATGTTACAGGTCAAATTTGATTTCAGGTTAAATTTTATTTTACCTCTTAGGGCTAGGAGACAAGGGAAATTGAGAATCAACCTGTGTTAATTCAGAATTAACGTGAAATCAAATTTAGCCTGTAACACATATATTTAGGAGGTCCTGACCCCCCCAACCTTCCCCTTGGGTCTGCCACAGTGAATGCAATTAAACTGTTTACTTTGTCCAACACTTGAGGCTTTTCTCTATTCACACTGTGTCTCACAGTCCTCACACTTGTCACCCTAGGTCTGCTGTAGAATACATACAGTGGCTCTGTGAATTAGAGTTTTTGATTTGATGTATCGATAACCAATTAAAGGTTTTATGAATAAGGTCAATATTTGGCATTCTTTAACATTTATTTGTTATTATTATTCAGAGATTTAGAGGAAGCTCTCACCATGGGAGTGGACTGGTCTTTAAGAGAAGGTAAGATTTATTTACGTCACCTCCTAACCTTTCATTATTAACATTGGCCAAAATAAAAAAAGTTTTGCAGTTAAAATCACAAGATTTTAATAGTGCCGAGCAAAAGTTCTAAACACGCAATAGGCAGTTGACAGTGTGTGAGTTGACATGGCGGCAAATCAACTGCATGGTTTCCCTATAAACTTATTTAAAGCATTAAAGAAAATTGAAGTTATCTTTGGATGAGTTTTTGAATTCCTGGCATAATTGTAGTTATAAATCACATTGTTTTGTCGCAGGGTATGCATGGGCTGAAGACAAGGAACACTGTGAAGAATATGGCCGCATGTTGCAGGCCGACCCAGCTAAAGTTAGTGCGAGAGCAAAGAAAAGAGGCTTACCACAGGTACACTGTAACACTTAACCCTTTAAGCCCCAATATCCACAAAGAAATTCTCCAAACTGATCTCTATAAAGTTCCTTACAGAATTAGTTGGGAGAAATTGATAAAAGATCTGAGATTTTTCTCTCTGTGATCATTTTATTAATTCTCATACATGTTACACTTGACAATCCATGGATATTGTTAGGAGAAAATTGATGTTGGTCACTATTGGGACTTAAAGGGTTAAAGCAGCTGTTTCTTTCTCAAGCTGTCAACAGTCCTCTAGAGAAATAAACCTTGGTCGAGTTGTTCAAAAGGTGGATAATACTATCCACTGGATAACTCTCTGTCCAGTGGTTAATAACACAATTAGTTTCCCTATTACTTATCCCAGTGGATAGTGATTTATCTGGTGGATAGAGCTATCCAACATTTGAACAACCGGGCCCTGGAGAATTTCTCTGATTTGTGCCATATCATAGAAATTTCTGAGAGAGTTATAATTAGCTTATATGACATCACTGATCCACAGTTGGGATTTTGTGGAAGTTGACAGTGCAATTGTATTGGAAAGAGGAAGGAAAGTTGTAATTGTGAAAAGTTAGCTTTTGTGTCATGATTGAATGTTAGCATTTTTACTGTGTGACTACTAAACCAAGCCCACCCTACTAACACAAATTTTATGACTTCTAATTTAACTTAAATATGTTTTTCCTGTTAAGCTTGGTACATTAGGAGCTGGAAATCATTATGCCGAGATCCAAGTTGTAGATGAGATATACAATATGCACACTGCGAAGAAAATGGGAGTGGATCGTCCTGGTCAGGTAACCAAGGAGGTTCAAGTTGCGCATTGATGCATATTAGGTAGTCTGTCTTATCCATCTGCCAATATTGAAAGCCAAGAGCTCTGACCCATGGTAGTGACCATATTATGTGACAGTAGATAAAGATCATCTTGATGAGATAACAGGGCTGAAATCTTGGACAAAACCAAGGTGGCCAAAATTATGGTTTTGCATCCAGACAGACCACCACCCCAATTCAGTTGACTCTCCCCCCCCCCTTCTCTTAACGATCCTTGTGCACATCCACTTAGGGTATTCCAAGCAAAGGCTCTTTTGAGAACCAACATTGTGTCGGGGGTAAATTGATCTTAGGTAAACATAATGGGGAGAGTATTTTTAATTTTGAATTGAACGGAGTGTGTTTTCTCAAGTAGTTTTGTCAACGATTGTAGGTCACGATATTTCGGCATTTTCAGCAACTGTTAAATTTTGTGATAAAATACAAAGGTGCAATCTTCAGTAACAAGAGCATGTCACGAGCTCTAAAAAAACGTTTTTCCCCAGACAGGAATCGAGCCATATTGGTTTGGCTCTATGGCTACTAATTTAGCTCCGACTAATAATCTTTTTTAACAATTCAGGTTTGTATTATGATCCATAGTGGAAGCAGAGGACTCGGCCATCAAGTAGCTACTGGTGAGTTATAGCAATTTTGATTTTAATAGAAATTTTGAATAGAATTCTCCGATTATAAAAAGGCTTTTTCGTTGTCATTTCTTCTTTTCTGCCTGTAATTTTGCAGATGCTCTGGTTGCTATGGAGAAAGCAATGAAAAGAGATAAAATTGAAGTTAATGACAGACAGGTTTGCTGGCGTTTGTTGGTTTTTTCTTTCGGGTTAAGAAGTGCTAGCTATTCGAAATAAATTAAAAAGGTTGTTCCATTCATATTCTAAACTTTCCTTCGTTTCCCAGCACTTTGTGGTCACTGTAGCACCATTTCGTTTGTCATTTTCCCGGCACTACGTTTATTACTTTTCCCCTACATTACCTTTGTCATTTTCCCACCATTGCATTCTCATTTCCCGCCCTTCCGTTTGTCATTTTTCTGCCATTGTGTTCATCTTTTTCCCGCCATTTTGTTTGCCATTTTCCTGCCATTGCACTTGTCCCTTTCCCGCCATTATGTCTGTCATTTTCCCGCCACTGCGTTCTTTACTTTCCTGCCACCTAATTACGTTTTTCATTTTCCCGCCATTGCGTTCGTCAGTCGTCACTCTCCCGCTGTTCCCGCCATTACATTTGTCATCTCGTTCGTCACCTTCCCGCCTGTACGTTGATCATTTTTTCACTTGGTTGCCATTACGTTCTTCACTTCTCGCCTAAGGGTTTGTCCTGAGTTGAAAGCGCCTTTTGAATTCGGAATCTTTAGCACAGATTTAATGTAAAAGCGGCCAAATATTTCTAACACAACCCTTCTAATCTGGGTGGTGGCTAAAGGCTATTATGTCACATTTATACAGCTTGCCTGTGCAAGAATAAATTCCGCAGAGGGACAGGACTACCTAAAAGGTATGGCAGCCGCAGCTAATTATGCTTGGGTCAACCGATCCACAATGACGTTCCTAACAAGACAAGCGTTTGGCAAAGTTTTTAAAAGTACACCAGATGACCTGGATATGCACCTGATCTATGACGTGTCACACAACATCGCGAAGATAGAGGAGCATGTATCCTTCATGTACTTATTAATTTAAACATACCGTTTGTTTACCTAAGGTAAATATGTATATTTTTTTGGTTTACAGCTGTCTTTGATTGTATCCTCACCGCACTCGTCACGTATAAAGTTTACTCGAGGGCACGTGACTGCTGAGGTAGTTCTAACTTTTGCAAATGTGGTTGAAATATAATATTTAGTGTGTAGTTCAAACTTTTGAGTCTGTGGATGAAATCATAATGTGTGACTATTCAAACCAAAGCTCTGTGGCAGTACTTTCACATGGTACTATTTGTTTAGTTTGTAGTTTAAACTTTCGCTGTGGCTATATGGCCGGTAACCGGTCAAGGTTTCCAGCCACAGCGTTAAACTTTGGAGTTTTTGGATGAAATCCTAACGTGTGACCATTCACCCAAAACCTCTTCAGCTGTAGTTTCACATGGTACTATTTCATTATTTTAGTATTTAGTTCTAAATTTTGAGTCTGTGGATAAAATCCTATGGTGCGACTCTTCAAATAAAACCTCCTTAGGTACTTTCACTGTATACTATTTATCTAATGTATTGCTAAATGTGGACTTCGTGCATGAAATCCTAAGGTGAGAGCATTCAAATAAAACGTCATCGAGTCTTTTTTTGTGTTATAATTTAGAAATGCAACTTGAAATTGTGTTTTGGTTCTCTTAACCGCACTAAAGATGTTAGATGGCATTCAAAAGACTCTTCTTGTACATAGAAAAGGATCGACCAGGGCATTCCCTCCTCATCATCCTCTTATTCCTGTAGATTATCAGGTTAGTATTGTTTTGTAGTTTTTGTCAGTATGTAAGCATGGGAAATTCTGTACATCACGATTTAATTACTTCGTTGAGGCCCGTAGTACGAACTTGATTTTCTTTTTTTGGGGTTGGGGGGGGGGTAAATTTATACATTTTTTCCCTGTCCAACTGTAACTGTCAACTCCACTGAATTAGTTTTTTTTTTTGTAGCTGACTGGCCAGCCAGTTCTTATTGGAGGCACCATGGGTACTTGTAGGTAAGCCCTTTCTTCACCCCACCCTTCAAAGTGCCTTTGTTTCGTACTTACTCACGCTTCATTGACTTTTTATTTTCATTTTTTTTATTCCATTTTGCTCGCATTTTTCCGAGCATGTTAGTGAAGCAAAAGCATGAAGCATTATTCGAGCATTTTAGTGGATCTTTTTCAGAAAACTATATTTTTTTTGCGAGGAAATGAAAATGAAAAAATAATTTAAAGAGAAAATGAACAATTTATGTCGAAATTCAAAACCGAGAAAACTCAAATGTCACCCTAATACAGCTGTTAGAGTGTTTTCTTTTGCTCTATGAAAACCATGAACTTGTATACGTTGTTGTTTTACCACCTAATGTTGTTTTAGCATTAAAAGCGTCTGTATGACGAGCGTTATCGAGCATTTTAGTGACTTTTTTGATGGCGACCGATTATTTTAGTGGAAAAAATGGAGCATTAAGGTGGAACCTTTTTATGGGCAAGCAAAAGCATAATAATACAAAAGCCAACTTTTTTTTGTTTTTTTACTTTTTTACACAGTTATGTTCTAACAGGAACAGAGAAAGGAATGAGACAAACCTTTGGTACAACATGTCATGGGGCTGTAAGTGATGTGTATGATTAGATAAACAGATAATTCCCAAATTTCTTTGTTTTGTAATGACCCTTAGTGCTTAAACTGTAATAAGCAATTAGCAATTGCCATTTTGCGGGCCAGTCTATTGTAATCAATATTTTTAGTAAATAAAGTTGAAGTTGAAGTTGCTCTTCAGCATCTCTGTAATGCTCTTTGGTGCTTAAACTGTTTCCAAGTTGAAACAGTTTCAGTGACAAACATGAGCTTCAAAACAAATTATTTGTCCACTCCTAAGTTGATTCTTGAGGCAGATTTACATATTTCGAAATGATTCTTAATGACCCTTAATTGACTCAAAAAGCTCAGAAATTTTTTTTTTTAAGTTTGAGGGAAGCATGAATTTTTTAAAAAATACTTTTATACAATTTAATTACTTTACTTCAGCTTTGAAAAGTTACTTGTTTTTTAAAAAACTTATCGTTATGTTCTGTTGTGTTTTTATAGGGCAGAGCTTTATCTAGATCCAAGTCTCGGTAAGCTTTGGTTGGTCCCTAAAAGTGGCTAACTGTTAATTTCTCCTTATAATAGCACCGTCAATCGATAAAGGTCGTAAGGAAAAAGCAAATTATCAACAATTAAAAAAGGTCTTGATTGTGAGGCAAATCCTCGTCATCAGTAATATAACTCCGCCCGCCTCCTCTAGCTTTTGCTATTTGCGGGCGGAGATGCATGGTAAATTGATGTGTATGAAAATAAAGTATAGTATAGGGAATATGTGGGAAACAGTAAGGAGAATATACATGCTGATATATAGGTTTAAAGGGTTAAGGGTCTAGTTGATTTTGTCATCTATCAGTTAGTACTTTACCAAACCACTTTCGAATAATGGTGTTGAAATGAAACAAAACACGGAATAGAGTGTTTTCACATGACGTCACGGCAGCCATATTGGTGCCCCAAAACAATGAAACGGCCGCCATATTGGTGTCCCAAACCAATCCTCTGGGAGTTGAACTCTTTTCTTATGCAAACACTTTCTTTTGTTCCAATAAATTTGCATAAATGCTGGCCACGTGAGTGAAAACACTCTATAGCCTTCAAGCATCTCCTATTCTGCACTTTAAAACAAGAAAAGAACTGGAGCCGCAATGGTTTCTGGGATCATAACTGGGGACGCGCCGGTCAGCTATGGGTCAATTTTTTCGTTGTCCCTAGTAACAGTCCCAGAAGTCTTTGCGAAAGTTAACTCGCCCCAGTTTCCTTCTTTTTTCTAAAATGGGGAATTTGGAGACGTCTGCGCACAGGCCAAACACAGTAGAAATACAGGAAAGCATTAAGAGAGAGTATTTATGAGGAAAATTTGAGGAGATTAAAATGGATAGCGTGAAAGTAAACTGAAACAAGGTCTGCCTGTTTTTTGTTTGAAGGTATGACTTAAAGAACTCGTCATTAATGATAAATGAAATCTCATCTAAAATCTCCATGATTATGAGAAAATGCCTTCTGTCGATCAAATCACCCTTTTCGAGAAAGGCCACTTCCTCTTGCATTTATTGATTTTGGATCGTCACGAACTACTTTTGTATGCTTTGTTTTTTTTTTTTTTCAGACGACAGCTTGATTATCAAGATGTGTTGGATAATCTTAAGTCAAAGGGGATATCTATCAGAGTTGCCTCGCCAAAGCTTGTCATGGAAGAGGTACGCTTTTCACATATTTGGGGTTTTCAGGGCCAATATCCTTTTGCATTATTTTGCAAGGTATTTTCGCTGATCGTTGCGGATCACTTTTGCTTTGTGTTGGCGAATCTTTACGGATTCTTGCTCCCTCTCCTCCCTCCCTTCTGTCATGTGTGGGTGTGCAGGTAAGTACATTTCACTTGGTAAGTATCTTTTCCACTGAGTATTTTTCTCAGTGTGATGGTGCAAGTTAGCAGCTGCAGGCAGGGGTGGTTCCCGCTTCCAGGGTTGCCTTGGTTACCTCCTTGCCTTATTTTTCGCATCTGGCCTCCCCCGCTAACCTTTTAGGCACCAGTTCCGAACCTCATCAACTGGCGATGAGTTTAACGCTATCTTTACTGTCCATGTTAACGTTATTCAACCTCTTTCAGGCGCCTGAATCTTACAAAAACGTAACAGATGTAGTCAATACCTGTAAGTATCTCTACTTATTTACTGGCCAACGTTGTTTCTTTCCGAGAAATATCATAAGTGTCATAAGGTTTATTCAGTTTCTCTAATGATTTGAGGAAAAATAGCTTTTAAAATTACGGTTTATTTAACAAATTCAGTTTAATCATTTCGTACAATATCTTAATATTATTTCTGTTCAGTCGATATATCAGTTTTTGCAGTGTAATAATCTTGTAATTATATTTACATGTTACTGAGTTAGATTTTACGAGTTAAAAGCGTAAGTAGAATAAATAGATTTTTGTCTGTGACATTGCGTACAAGTTTGATACATTACTATATTTACAGTACTATACAATACTACTTATTTTCAGGTCACGATGCAGGAATCAGTCAAAAGGCGATCAAACTCAGGCCAATCGCCGTGATCAAAGGATAAAAGCACTCAAACAATTTAGGAAAACCATGGTCTATAATGACTGTAAAGATCCTATGTTGGATATCAAAGAGTCTCGATCCACTGCTCCCCATTCGCGTACACTGCAATGGTAAGGAGAGAAAGAGACTGGAATATTGGAACCCAAGAACAGAGGACTCAGGAACTCAGGGACAGAGGAGGCAAGTATTAAACATGCTGCGGAGCAACTTTAACTATTGTTACTTCCAAAAACGCTTGTTTTGCTACTTTGCGGGACAATACTGACTTAAAGATCATCAGCTCATCGTATTTAAATAAAAGAAATGTCATCTCTTTTCTTTACAGTCTATGTTATTTTCTATAAATATTCTTTGTACTCCACTCTAGAACGGCTTAATAAAGCGGAGCGCTTCAGAAGCGCCGATACAAAATGGCTATTTTTATTGCGGACTCAAATAATTTGGGTATCATAGGCTTGCGGCAACGTTTCTTGTACGAATTGATCCTGATCATTGTCGACTGAGCGTACTTATTACTTCATAACAATTTAACACCTAGTTGGCTTGTACCCTGTTTTTTTTTGTCTTGGCTAAATTACACCGTTTTCAATGGTTTTGCACCTTTCGTAGCCTGTCCAAAGTGACCTGCTGGCGTTGCATACAACCCATTTGTACTACTGTTAAATTGGGGGTTTCCTTAACTCTGTTATCACATCTTATAACAAACGTTATACGTAATTCGTGTTGGTGTGGTTGCAGTTTGATATCAGCTTGGTCTTTGAGCAATGTTGCATTGCATTGTTAGCGATGCATGACGATATACCTCATGTAATGGCCGAGTGATCTTGCTCTTGTTGCTAGAAAAAACAGGGTAAACCTATTGCGTAGACATCCTACTGTTGGTAGGACTGTGGTGCGTATGCACAGCGGTATTGCGCGCCAACAGTGTGTGTGTGTGAAGACGAACATGGCAGAGTTCGTTGTGTTTACTGTTCCGTCTACGTGTTTGTATATTGCTCTTAAGTCATGGCCTTACCGGCCGGTTAACACTACCAGATAAAGACATTCCAAAACCTTAATGGAACCGTACCATGCTAACGTTATCTGGAACGGAGGGTTCCTTCCTTTATATATAATATATCCCCTTTTTACACTGTACTTAATTACAAGTTATATTGTAGTCAAATCTCTCTCTTGTTATTTGGATTCGAGAGACCTTCTTACGAGATTAGATCACTGTCTGATGGAGTCTTAAGGCTTTCAAACCGGAAGCGGAAGCGTCTTGTACGAATCGTAAGTGGGATTTTTGGGTTGCTTGGCATTATGCAGCTAAAGTATATGTAAACAACCCTCTTTTAACGTATACTTCTATAAGAAGTACAACTTAATAAAACAGACAGCCGGGGCTACTCCTGGGAATTCTTGGTGGGGGTGTGACGTCCGGCTCTCCAAATCCTGAGCCTACTTCAGACCCAAAAATGTCATTTTCCACACCCGTTTTCAGACCTGGCCTTTAAGCAGAAGTTATGTCATCATAACTGAGATTAGAGCGCAAACAAAAAAATTCTTCAAATGCATTTCGAATTCCCATATTTCTATTTCGTTCTTATTCATCTGGAATCGAAAGGATAACTACGTTCACACGCTACCCATAGTTCCCCCGAAAACTATAACCGATTCCAGACCAAAATGGGCAAAGTGTGCACCCGTTTTCAGATTAAAGAGGCCCAAAACCCTACCCTTTGGGGCGGCTCAAACTTATATGGCTCATATAAGGGATAGGTTGAGAGAATTAATGAAATGATCACCAAGGGGGACATGCTTTGATCTTTTATCAAATTCTCTAAACTAATCCTTCAAGGAAATGATGGAGATCACATGGGAGAATTTACATGTGGATATTGGGGCTTAAAGGGGTGAACGGATACTTAGCGTTTTGTCCCAAAGGTATCCTTCATGGGGAAAGTTAACCGTATTAGGGGCATTCACTATTTAGAGGAGCGCTGGTAGAGTACATCGACGACATGTTCTAATGCTCCTGATACCCCTCCCCCTGACGCACGTTGTTCTTAAACCCCTTCCTCTTACCATTTCAGTTCTAAATTCTCTGAGAAGGGTTGATGCCGCGCGTCAAAGTTTATGCGCGTTTCGTTGTTTCGCGTTGGCGGTTCGTTATCATCGAGAAGTTAAAGAGAAGAAAAGAAAGGTTAAGTGCATCTCAGTGTTAATGTTAACTCCTTGAGTATTGTAAAGAGTTACGCTTACACAGAACTTGAATATAGGTAGAATTCTTTTTCTTGTGTTGAAGTTTTCTGCTGTCTCGACGTCCTTACAGACGCGTTTGATGACTTGGTATAAGACGACTTTCGGGATAACGGACTTACCATCATCTTCCGAAACACGGCTCGGAATCGCTTCTTAAAACAGATCAACATCCATGGATTGACGGCGCTGTTCGCGTGTCCACACCAGAAGCAAATCAACATGATATACCCTGGAAACCTGTCAAGCACCGTCAAATCGATCGCTATCATAGTGTGAAAGACATGCGCGGGAAGCCAGCAAAGTCCAAACGCTACCACGATTGCTATCGACATGTTTATCACTTGGTGTTTGGTTTTGTTTGCTCGATCACGCGCCTTGTCTTGTTTTACAGACGCGCCAGGCAAAGTGTGAGTTTTAAGTTTGCGGCAGACAACTCCATAGAGAAAACTCACAGCAGTTAAAGGAAATATATAAATGCTGATTACTATGTAGAGAAACATTCCCCTGACGGCATCTTGAAGCTCACCCAGTTGACTAAATTCATAGTTAATGTAGGAACCGTCCACTTTAGGTATGATTAACCAAGGGCTCATAAGACACATGGAACTTATCCATATACAAGGTACAAAGACCTTCTTATTCCTTAACTTTGGGAACCTCTGCATTGGTCTTGTGATGCTGAAGAAACAGTCAAAGGCAATGGCGCTTAACGAGAAAATTGACGCCGTAAGCGAAACATAAAACGTAAATACTACGAGCTTGAGTAGCAATTCTCCAATTAGTCCACTTATCCATTTTTCGTCCGTAAATATGACTGTCAAGGACTGCGGCATTACTACGGTAGTCACTAGCAGGTCGGCCACAGCGAGGTTTACATACATGAAACTTGTTAAACGTCTGGTTTCGGGCTTTTTGTACAAGATATAGATCACCAGAATATTGCCAACCAGTGATATAGGTATGGTGATACTGTACAAAACCAGGGCGATTATCTTGACGTCTGGTCCCCATCCAGTGAGTGGTGGGCCTGTGGTATTTGGCATGATTGTGTTGCCACCAGGTGGGGTAACTGTGTCTGAAAAAGAAAAGGAAAAAAAATTATAATGCTGATACTGAGCGGGTGAAGCGGGGGAGGGGGGGAGGGGGTAGATTGATATATTGGCCAGGTAAGTGTGTGCCTCTGCTAGGCCATGGTGTTTTGAGCGTCTCGATCTTTAAATAGGGTATCATTTTGCCCTTGTTGGCATTGTGTTCCTGGTGTGATCCTTAGACAGAGTACCTAAATTGTATCGGCTAAAATTCAAGTGCGTAAATGCCTAGATAGATGAGAAACAAATCATCTGTTTTATCCTTTAGAGTATTCTAAAGGCCATTTAGTGAAGTTTTGTGTGATGACTTTGAATTCTTAGTTTTTGTTTTTCCCCCGGGGGTGGTACTTTAGGAATTTCTGGGGGGGGATGTGCCGCTGGGACCCTGGAACCCTTAACCTATACCAGAGCTAGTTCAGCTGAATTTTGCTACCCTATACTAGAGTAAACTCCCCAAATCCCCCTATCCTAGAGTAGCTGTTTCCCTTGTCTAGATAAAATCTTCAACCAACTGATCAGTTTCCTGAAAAATGATACCCTATTCTAGACCCAAACGCTCTGATTTACATACCCTATCCTAGAGTAAACTGCCTGAAAACCATACCCTTCACAGCGGCACATACCTATATAGCCCATATATGGCAGTACCCCCCCCTCCCCCGGGGGTTTTCCCTTAAATAAGGTGTCACTTTTCTTGTTGGGAACTGAAATTGGTTATCAATTTTTGTTTGTCTCATCCTCAAATAGGGTCAGGCCACACACTAGTCTCCTTCGCAGCCGTTATTAGGGTCGTCACTCGTCACGCAACGCTCCTCCCCACTAACTAGTGGGGTGCTGATGTTTATGGACTTAAAGGGCATGTTTACATGTAGGTGAGGAAACCCTCGGCGCGTCACCCCACCTATCATGTATAAGTGATCAAAGTAAAGATCACACGGTCAGGCGGGTTACCTCACCTTAGCGGGTTACCCCACCTACCTGGGTTCCCCCATCTCCATGTAAACAGGCCACGACGGCGACGACAGCGAGAATGTCAAAACAGCAATAGGTTTGAATCGCCAAAACAACAACTGCACGTGCACCACGCTTTTTTGTACATTTATTTGCTGTCACTGCACGACTACGACGGGAAAATGCCTAATTTTACGACGGCTAAATTTTCTTTCTCTTTCTTAACTTGAATATGGTTCTTTATAGGAATTCGGCTCAAAAAGATTTCGCTTGCTTTTGACAAAGTAAATGAGTTGGAGTTATCGCGATAGAGATTGAAAGAACGCAAATTCACTTTTTAAGCGACGTTTTCGTGGCCGTCGCCGTCTTGGTATCTTAAACTCCCTATTACTGCTGTGTCACTTTTAAACCCAAAAACTGACTGGTGTTTTATTCTGGGCGGTGACACCCATTTGAAACTCCCCAAAAGAGACCAAATTTGGTTGTGTGACGAGCTTTGACCCCTTAAAGGTGACACTACCCTGATGAGCTTTTAGTCCTTCCTGAATAACGCAGCCAACACTGTGGGGGACTCAAAGATGAAGTCTTCATCTTGGGCGTGTGCATGCTGGTGGTGTCGTGGAACTTTACTTGAATCCAAATTGCTACGTTGTCGCAGCTCCATTCATTTTAGAGTTTGACGCATAATTGGTATGTAGACAAAACAAAAACGTTCTTTATCTTAGCCAGGGTATGTTTATTGCGTCCGATGATGGGCGCAGTCGATCACCGTTGATGGTGATACGCCTAAAATATTTCAGCATGCAGCCCAAACTTTTTACGTCCAAGCTCCTAGTAAACAATGCCGTGGCCACAAACTTGTGAACAGACTTAACACTTGTTAACTTACCATTCATCCCAGAACAGAGGTGTTGCAAACAATCAATTCGTTTTCCTGACAAAAAGAAAAGATAAATTTGTGATATAAATGTAGATCATCTGGGTTTGTTACTGAGATCGCCTTATTGACGTAACCACATTTGTTACATACTTATCGCTACAAATCACAAAAGAAACTTTACGTTTAGCAATTTAGTTCGTGCGTCGGCGTGCGTATGTCGTGTTATTGAGCACGCGGGAAGTTTGGAAAGCACGAGAGAGGCGTAAGAGTTGCTTGAGGCACAGGCGAGAACAACTTTAGCCTCTTGAGTGCTCTCCAAACTTTCGAAGTGCTCAATATCTCGACATACGCACAGCTGAAGCATGAACTAATTGTTAAACGTAAAGTTTCTTTTGTGATTTGTAGCGATAAGTATATAACAAATGTGGCTACGTCAATGAAGCGATCTCACTAAGCTTCGCCTACAATAAACTGCTTATTTCAGGTCGTCTGAAGTGCTTTGTGTCTACTTTTGTTCTACTAGCTCACAAGATCTTGCAAACTAGTTTGCTTGTTTGCTGTTTCTTTTTTTTCACTTTTTTAAAACACTCTTTCGACGTTCGGTTTTGACAGTGTTCTTCAGTTGCTTTGGCAACTAAATATATTCAGTACTATGTAATAGAAAAAGAACACAACGAAGACAAGATTTCAACTGGTTTCAAACCTTTTGACTCTCTTGAGTACTCTATAAAATCCGGCAACATCTACGAAAAAAATTTACCCTTAGAGAATTCGTTGGAATGGTCACGCTGCAGGCTTTCCTCTAGACTCTAAAGTTAGAACTTAATACTAAATTAATGTTACCATGTGAAAGTACTACTAACGAGGTTTCATTTGGGTGGTGATACAACAGGATTTCAACCGCAGGCTCAGAGAGTTGAGCTACCTTCCAACAAATAGTATCAAGAAGAAGTACTGCTGAAGAGGTTTCAAATGGTCCGTGACACAATACGATATCCTTACCGACTTAAATATAGACCAGCCACATATCGTGCGGTGTCTCCTTTTTCAGCTTTATCACGTCATCATTCAAGACTTGGTGGTTCATAGATCTTAAAAACTCTTAAAGTCCCGTCATGATTCAAATACCTCAGATTCATAACTGAACCGCGAAGCGTCCTGATCAATACGTGATACGCAAAACGACCCTCGTTGATCATGTCCATATACATCAGATACATGTTTGACATTAACAAATTTGAAAAAAAAAAAACTGAAAGACTGTCAAAGTTGGTCTGGTTTTAAGTAGTTTTATTGACTTTGGACGAAATCCTTTGATGCGACCATACAAATGAAACATCTTTAGCTCGTGTTTTTGTTTTCGTTTTGTTTTTCCTTTTCTTGACCATTGACATTTGTATTTTTTTATTACTTATTTATGTTTCGGGCGCTCATTTTAGTCAGAAGCGATCCGCATTGTTTTCCCTTTTATGTGGCTGTTTATATTGCCCGGTTTTGATCGACAACGTCCTTTCACGTGAAGAGTAAGAAAGCACATTGTTATTGGAAGAAACGGAATGATAAAAACAATATTGATTAAACTACGATTGAGAAAAAAGGAGCGAGAAAATTTGCTACGTTTTACCTTTTATTGGTTAATTCGTTGATTTATAGAGCTCCGAAAACCAACATCATTCTGCGAAAACTCCTCGGGAACAAAACATGAACTACAACTCTTGTACCAGTCTGTTAAGACTCGTGAATACCACTTATTTTAAACAAAGGTGGTAACGACTTACGAACTGTGTTGTGCTTACTATACTCGAATTAAGTACCCCGCGCGCCTAGCTAACTGGAGGACTTGTGATGAAGTACCTGAAACTCTTGAGTTCGTCGATTAAATCCAGGTGACAAGAGATCTTTTTCTAGTCATGACTGAAGCTCACAGTTCTTGATAATTGTTTCTCTTTAATGATACTATTTGTAGACGGAAGGTCTACAGACACGTTTGTGACAGTGTAAATGTCAATTTTAGCGAAATTTTTCCCTACTGTTACGCTTAGTCGGGAGTAATCAAAACCCGTCAACGCGGAATCAAAACATTCTCTAATGCAGATTAATTTTATGAGTGCACGTGCGGAACAAGTGAGCCTATTAAGGCCAGGTTCAAACCAGGGGCGTAGCGTCCATATACGCACGTACGCCCGTGCGTACAGCTGAGATCTGAGAAAAAATTTTTCTCATTAAATTTGCTGGTTAATAATTTCATATTTTCACATTATACTGGCTTTTTTATTAGAATTCCCATTATCCAAGCATCAATCATTCAGTGCTGGCCACTAATAATGGCAAAATGCATTTGAGTGGTAAGCAAAAATAGGAAAAACGCCTCATGTACCCCTCCCTCAAGGTCAGCCAGCCTCACCAGTTTTCCAAGCCCCGCAGGTATTCTTGAAGGAGAGGTTACTATGCCATGAAGTGTGGCTTCAGAACAAAACGTATTTGCCGTCAACGGATATTAGGAATATACTTGTGAAGCCCCAGGAATATACTTGTGAAGCCCCAGAGATTGATTTTCCGAAGAAACTGTTAGAGAATCCTATGAATATTTCTGCGACTTGAGGAGCGTGATCACTGGCTTCTGTAGTGTTTTCGTGTGTTTCGTGAGACAAAGTACACACATATGGCTCGAAAATCGATACGCGATTACTTCAACGTAAGTAACAAGACAACTAAACGACGTCTACATGCACTGCCGAACATAGCTTCAGTAGCATGTAGAGAATCTCCTCTGCGAAGTACGATGACGGACGAAAGATTAAGCTCCCTAGCAATCCCTCATATACAAAAACATAAGAACGTGGATTGAAGGGTTGACGGAGTTTGCCTGTCTTAAGGGACGACGCCTCGCCCTTTGCTTGTGACCTGTCTTCATTGTTTTTGTACAACTTTCTACTGCATTTTTGCCGCATTATTTATTGAAAATGCCCCGCAGAAAAACCAGGAGATGGCATTTCCGAGACCCTAAATTTCAAAATTTTTGGGGAGAGCATGCCCCCAGACCCCCCTAGATGTAAGCGCCTTCGGCGCTTACGAAAAATTTTATTCTCGTGCGTACATCTTCAAAATCCCACGCTACGCCCCAGCAAATGTGACGCCGGAACCTTATGCTAATGAGCAAAATCCATTGTTCTCGCTTAATTAGCATTAGTTTCCGCACAGTTTGGCTGAATTGCAACAGTTTTTATATTCCATCTTTCCGTCGTTTGAAGACTGCCTTTAGTGATCGGTTCACTGGCTGCACTGGGTGGAGATCTAGCTCCGACAAACCTCGACCAGGTGACCACTTTTTAGAGGTTATCTGCTTGCTTTACACCGGTTGTATTTACTATCAATAAACTACTGACAGTTAGCCCCGGGGGGGGGGGGTACTTTAGGAATTTCTGGGTGGGGATGTGCCGCTGGGACCCTGGAACCCTTAACCTATACCCAGGACTATACCAGAGCTAGTTCAGCTAAATTTTGCTACCCTATACTAGAGTAAACTCCCCAAATCCTCCCTATCCTAGAGTAGCTGTTTCCCTAGTCTAGATAAAATCTTCAACCAACTGATCAGTTTCCTGAAAAATGATACCCTATTCTAGACCCAAACGCTCAGATTTATATACCCTATCCTAGAGTAAACTGCTTGAAAACCATACCCTTCGCAGCGGCACATACCTAGATAGCCCATATATGGCAGTACCCTCCCCCCCCGGACAGTTAGCCACCATACCTCTTGTATTTGGCCTTCAAAAAGAGGATGGCCGCTTAGTTAATACTAAATAGGTCAGAGACATAGCTAGCGGGGGGCAAGGGGGGCGCAGCTGCCCCCCCCGGACCTTTTGAGCTTGACACAACAAGTCTGTGAATGGATTTGTTTTCTTTAGACTCAGTTATTTTGATTATAGTGACTTGCAATTGTTTGCCATTTTCATATTCGAGGTCGATTTTTCGGAGACATATTTCATGACAAGTGCTGAAAATAGCGGTTTGGGAGCCTCCAAATATGAAAATCTTCTGGAGGAGGATACAGACTCCCCTACAAGGTTCGTGCCTTCGGCACTTGCGGAAATGCCCCGCGTAACAAAAAAACTAGCTACTTCCCTTAAAGGTGTTTTTTTTTCTGTCAAACGAAAAATATATATGCACTCTTGAGATGCTTAACCAACTTCTCTGTGACAATCTCATTCGCGTTTCCTTTTGTATCTCACTCCAACGACCTTTCGACGAGAGGACTTCCCGTTTTGAGGCCGGAAGATTAGTGTCTACAGCTTGTAACTGACTCTCACGAAATTTTACCTTTAACGATCATCCATTTCCCACTTCGTGGAATCAGTGCGTGCGTTATAAAGCACTGTCAACCGAGTCTACGCTTAATTACATAAGTTTAAAAGGGGATCTGCTTTTCAGGAATTGAACAGGTTCTTTAAGTTTGCTAAGATTTATTCTGTTTATCTTGTTTGCAAACTTTTGGTTACTGAATTTCGGTTAAATTGGCAACATATAACGAACAAACAATGCCAGTAGGAAACCTTAGAAACCTATCAGTGAATGACAGCGCCCGTTTACAGTCCGTGGCGTCCCGAATAAGAATGTGAAATCACACTGCAGGGCTGGGAAAAACCAGCAGTGGATGAGACTTGGAAATTGGTTCCTTCGCCTCGCGGATTAAATCAAATTAATGACTTTTTCCTGTTTTGTTCTAACAAGAATGAGGAACAGTTTTCCTCAGGGGAAGAAATAAAACTTTAGATGGCCACTAAACGTGTTTCGTCTACGAACGCGCACTAGAATCTTGGAATCAACTGGTAACCAACGTAGTCTGTGTCGACTTGCCTGTGTGCGCGAAAATGGCATACTGGACATTTTGACATAGGCAGGGCATCCTGGAAAGATTACTTCCAAGCTGATGATTTGACTTCCTAACACATGGACAAAGAAGCGTAAAAAGAGAGCTGCATCAAATAAAGGACACTAACCTGGAGACATGGTATT